CCCCCCCGCCCCGCCTCCAATGCGCCCACTTACCAGGAGGCTAGGCAAATGACAGGGAACACCCCGACGCACTGCTTTTCTCGGCCAAACCCAAGCATATCCTCGATGTCGCGTGTGCCTTGCATGTAAGTGGCCATTTCCTGCTCCATGACTGGGTATGCGCGGCGCAGCCGGTGGTTTGGAAGGGAGGGAGAGAGAGAATGCATGTGCGTGCGTGCGTGCGCGTTAGATGGGCAGCGGCCAAGACGCCAGAGCATGACACCCAACATACCGTCTTGCCGGTTGAAGTATTCGCATGTTCGCTCGCGGATGCGGCGGTTGCAGGCCAAGTCCCGGGCGGTTGCCGAGGTGAGCTGCACCACCGAGTGATTGATGCACAGGTGCTCGCGCGAGGCAATGATCCCCGACCGAACGCTGCCCGCCGGGGAGAGGAGTGCCAAAGGCATCCGCAGTGGGACACCGCGTGGTGGTGAGCCAGGGGGCACGGAGGGGGGATGCGCACATCGAAGAGGGTCAGCAAGCTACGGGCACCAGCAAGGGGGCCAGGCGGTCCCGGCGTGCGTCCCTCCCCCGGGGAAAGGAAAAGGCGCACGTGAAGGATGTCCGCTTCAGCTCATTCATCACCTGGGCCAACTGCGAGTGCGTGCGCGAGGAGTAAAACACGCGCGGGATATTGCGCATCAGCGCGGACTGCGCAGCTGTCGATTCTGTGAGAGCAGACACCCACAGCCCCCGCCCCCCCCAGTCCCGGCCATCATTCGCGAGTGGTTATGGTTAGCGACTAGACGGCACCAGATGAGCAGGGCCGACAGGGGAGGAGCCCGGAGAGAGGGGGAAGATTACACACCTAGCGTGGAGGTGGCCTCATTTCGTGTGGCCGCTCGGCCGATCATCCACCGACGCCAGGACAGGACCGCGCACAGCAGGCACAGGGTCTTACCCGTGCCGGTGGGGCTCTCCAGCAGGGCATTCCCACCGGCTTTCAATGCGCGAATGACCATGGCCATGTATGCCAGCTGGCAGTCGTACGCCTGGTACGGAAAAAGAACCTCCACCCCCTCCAGCTGATACTGAAAGGATTTGGCCGGAGAGGCGGCCGCCGTGGGTGAAGCACCGGACACGGCGGCCGTGGCCCCCGGGGTGGGCCGGTCCGCCAGCAGGTCGGCCAGATCGCACTCCGGCGCGGAGGCGCCCCCGTCGGGCCACATGGCAGCCGCCACCTTGCGCGGGGGAGCCCCGGCACCACGGCGAGTCGCCGATTGCATGGTAACAGGAGGGAGGAGAGAGAGAGGGAGAAAGGAAAAAAAGGCACAGATGCACCGTCAGCAGGTGGGCGGGAGATACGCAAGCAAAGGGTCATATCCCAGATCGGTAGCCACCGGAGGGACGCCCGTGTCTCCCTTTTCAGGCAGATGGCCGTGGCGGCGGTGGTAGAGCCTCACACGCTTCCCAGGCCAGAGCGGCAGGATCACCGCGATCGGTCACTCGCCGGAGAGCCCCCTGGCCCCAGATGCCGGGGGCCGCGCCGTGCCGCGCTCGGGCGCCACGGGCGATTTCAAATAGAGGCCATGCGTGGGCACCCCATAACCGAACGTCTCGTGATCCGGCACACACATGCGCCTCGCGCCCTCCCGCCAGCGCGGCGGCCTCCCCCGTTCCGAGCGTGTGTGCATGTGCGCGAGCAGCCCCCGAGGGGGCCGTGTCCTGGCTTACCGTCTCGCGCACATCCCTCACAGGCCCCTTTTCCTCTCGACCGTGGCGCGAAGCCCGCCCGCCGTGCCGGCGGCCGCGGGCGTCGCCAGGATTGCCGCATTTCTTTTCGGCGGCCTGCCCTGCCGGAGCCGCCTGCCGGTCCCAGCCAGCCAGCTCCTTTCCCCTTCCTGCCCTCCCTACTCTCCCCCCTCCTGCCCTGGTCCTTCTTCTCCGCCTCCCCCTCTGTGCGCTTTCCGT